TAGAATGTACATTTAGAGGGACAGATTAAATCAAATGAATCTCTAATGCTACATGGAAACATAGGCCTTTCATGTGGCAGGGAGTTCCAGGGCCCAGCCTCCTTTCAGAAACATACAAAATCTAATAGTGGTGTCATGTTCTGGTACTCAGAGACTTCTTAGCTAAGACAAGCCAGCTAAAAGGGGAGGGAGTCTAGCCTGAGAGAAGTGAACGAGGGTAATGACAGCTCTAAGGATATATATAAGGCTGCCAGTGGCCTTGGACAGGCAGGGAAGCTCAGGTTGTTTGAGAAGGAGAATTAGAAGATTTCATGTGAGATGACAGATGAAATCTAAATCAGGAGGACTGGTGTATACATCCTGCACCCAGGCTGCAGAGGTGGGTATGAATTTTTCAGGTCAACCTTGGGTACAGTGATTTGCCAATGGGGCAAAGATGAAAGACAATGTGTGGTTTTGGAGGAGGATGGAGCAAAACACTGACTCCTAGGATTCCTTCCTTCAAACTCAATTCTAGAGCCTGGTTCTACCAGTGTATAAGCATATTGTCTTCCTGAAGGTATGACATCTGTCATTATGGACAGATTGTGGGGTGCAAAGAATAGGGAGCCTACCTAGGAAGCTAAGTGGGGCTTCATCCCATTTGGAATTGGAGTAATCCCTGGCAACATCCTGAGCAGAGCAAACTTTCTCTTCATCCAGTGCCAAGAAAGTGACTTCATGATGCAGGTAAGAGTAGGATATATCATGGTGTCTAGAATGAGAAAAAACACATTCCTCTAGTAAGTCCTGCAGGACTCCCTTTTCCTCAGACTCCTGCACCCTCCTGATGAGCCGGGTAGGATAGGAACGACAGCAGATTAGATCAAGACAGACTCAACACCACAGCGTCTCAGGTGATTTGATAGGACACAAAGGGAGTGGTCAGAGAAAGCGAAGGGGGAGCCTCTCCAAGAGAGGAAAGTCATCCTTCTAAATGTGGGGTGGATGTGACTGCCCTGGGGACAGAGCAAATGCCTGCAGCAGGTGCTCAGGGCACTTGCCACAAAGGAGCTGCTGCAGGAGACCCCGACTCTCCCTGTAAACTAGCAGCATGACCTGCAGCAGAGAGAACTAACACAGGCCTTCACTTCCTTCACACAAATAGCGTTGACATTTACATGCAGCATCTAAGTGAACAGAGCTCTTGAGGCATTCCAGACACATAGATGCTGTGTTTTTAAGTTCCCCCTTTTTGAAATTTTGACATCATATGAAATTTTTATTTTTAATTTCTCTCTTGCAATTAAGTAGTTGCCAACATGCTGACACAAAACAGAGAGAAAGCAGATATGCATCTCACTCTGGATTAACCACATGGGAGACCACAGGTGAGATCAGGATATCCCTGAGTTTAGTCAGTTCACCTGGCTCAACTGATTATCAGTTCCCATGCTTGAGCGGGATTAAGAAATGAAAGCTATTCAAGTACCACAATAAAGAAGACAACATTGTAAAAGGGGTAATTTGCAGTTGGATGAATGGATGAGACAATTCTATTCGTCACTTCCTATTTTCCCTGGATCCGTGGTGTCCAGGTGTCACTACTGAACTAACAGCCCACAAATCCATAGTTACCTGGGGGGCACTGGCACATTCCCCTGTTCTTCCTGACGATCATTTTGATTTTCTGTAAACAAATTCAGAAGAGCAGGTCACAGTAAGGAATCAGTGCCCAGTCATGGCGCAAGACACAAATATCTTCAGTGTAAGAATGTGACATTTTGACAGGAAGGTTGTAAGGCACCGTAAATTAAGTCTTGTCAGAAGTAGATGAGCCTCCTTTCCAGGCCCATGGAACAAAGTCTCCCTCATCTGGTAGATCATAATCACCTCTCCTTGGACCTAAGTCTGCGCCAACAGTTAAAGAAAACTTTTCTCACAAGAATTCAAGAATTGCCCTAACTACTCTCCAGAAGTGTTGTTGCAATACCAATTTATGTCATCAAATATCATGGTCAATGAATGGTTAGAGAAATTTATATAGAAGACTGAACTGATGGATAAATTCTAACAACCCCTGCATAAAAATGGATCTGTGGTGCTACACAGATACATTGGCCACTCATGGTTTGAAGAACTCAGAGCCCAGCCTTGTTTAGGGAAACTACAAGCAAGATAAAGGTAGCAGTGTTTATGTCCTGCTTTCAAGGTGGCTGCTTA